ATTATAAATCTTTCAAGATTTTGGAGCAGATCGACTAGTCAAGTGATCTTGACTTATCTTGACGTGGTCGAGCTTAAACAAAAAAGAAGAATTAATCGAAAGGAAGAATTTGGGTTGGGGTTGAGTTGTCTTGACTAGGATTAATTTGAATAAATCTTTGGACATAAAAGGAACTCAGCACCTGTTCAGATTGCTTATTTGTAGTCGGGTTACACAATAACCACGAATTATAAAAACTTGAAAAATGTATTCTAACATAGAAAATTTTTTGTGGTCATACAAATTACACAATTTGAAGGAATTACATCAAATCTTGATTCCCCTTTGCCCTGATTTTCTTCTACTGGGGGAAGAGGCGCGGCCGGATTTCTTGGGTCGATCATTACATTTATCGGTGAACAAATCCTCGTATTTCTCCAGTATCCGTTCTTTCTCTTCCGGTAATCCCAACATCTCATATGCATTGGCTACTTTCTGCACGATCGATTTTTCTGGGCGTTTCCGGTCAAATGCTTCCAAGCCTTTGAACAGCTTTACAAGATCCTCGAGCATGTTATTACGATAATAAATAGATATCATAAGATCACACAACTTCCAAGGAACGGAATGTAAATCTGATGCAAGTTTCTTCATCCAGATATCATGTGCTTCTTTTGCTCTATGGTCCATATCTAGAGCTCGGATCAACTGCCCGTATGTTCCCCTCGTGGTGCCCTGCCCTTTACTCAGAATCCATTTAATAACTTGGACTATTCTATGCCACTGTTGCTCTTTCTCAAGAGCAAGCAATACATTCTTCAACGGGCCAATAGGGAAGTTCCGTTCCCATGCAACCCAAGCATCAAGGGCCCCATATATTGCTTCTTTATCATCACCAAGATCCATAAGTAAGTTGATAAGAAAGCTAATCCTGTCCTTTCGAGAAATATTTTCTCCTATTAGATACCTGGATACAGCTGCGCCATCTTTATAAGGTTGATTTTCTGAGGATTCTGTCAACCCCGAACTGCGTTGCCTGTGGACCAGACTGTGTATTGTGCTGTAATTGGAAGAGAGGGGTCGAGCCCTTACTGTTATAAGCTGGTTGATTTGTCCAGACAGCTTTATTATGGATGCTGATCTCAACATTGCTCTCAATTCTGGTAACTGCCAACTTATATATAGCTTAAACTCAACATGCTATACATCAATAGAAATAAAGCATTAGGACTCAAATGAAGCCTTATCAATTCGATGATGGTGATGTAGATGACAAGTACCTAATTTAATTAACATTCACAGATGACAGGTACCTAATTTAATTAACATTCACCATCAAATTCAACGTAAAACGGGAAGTATATAACAACTTATACGTAATTCTTTTCTCTTAACGACAATTAAAACCTAAAACCCATGTTCCAACCTTTTAGCTAATTCTGACCTTGTTAGTTAACTTTGGCATATGATTGTTCCATCTACCCTTACCAAAAATCTTTTCTAAAAGAATTATTCCTGGAATGTCAATTTAAGAATGATAACCACAATGCAAAAAATCATCATTTGATTTAAAATTTAACTTATTCATGAATCGATAAGTTGGGATGTTAGACCAGCATTTGAAACAAGATTCTCATGTTTAAGTTTCATTCAGGCATTTTTCCGAACACTAAAAACACAATGTAGAGCACAGCGTCCAAACACACACCTATGACACAACTGGCATAATTTTTCCCAAATCAATTCAAATTTAACCAATTTACAACTTTCACACACTCATTTCTTGCAATCAGCTGACAACCAATTTTCCTCAAAAAACATGAAAGAAACAGAGAAAAGAACGAAGACTCTTGAATAGCAAGCAGAAAGTGTAGTTTTTTCTTCATTTCGTTTTAAGTAAATAAGCAAATACAGCGTTGAATCATGGTAACAAAAAGAAAATAAAAAACTCACCCCTTTGTTAAGTATCCTGGAGGGAGCTTCGGAGTTGTTTTCTTGGAGAAGTAGGACCTCAACTGATGGCATTGCACACATGTATTAGATATTGGAGCATTTTAATACCAAAAATTGTCATATAGATTGAAAGAATAAGTCCCAATTGCAAGAAATCACACATTGAAATGAAAGGCAAAATTTAATAAACTTGTCAGATAAATTTCAGATTTATTGCTTACATAAAATCTCCTAAATACACGGCAGATAAATGCTAGATTTATTGCTTAAACAAATATACAAAATAAACTGATAAACATAACAAGAAGGAAGATTAATGGAGAGGGTATACAAAATAAAATCGAAGAAGAAACCTTAATTTGAGAAGAACACGATTTGCGATTCGAGGGCCAGAAGGCCTTGCTGCGTAGAGATGGATAGAGAGAAACGGAACAAAGGAACAGAAATTATTGACGGGGAGTAGAGACTGGTTTGGGTATTGGAATTGGGCCATTACGGGTTAAATTTTTTTTTGGGCTTAGACTAAAGAAAAATGGGCTGGTTTAAATTTTCACATGGGCTAAAACAAGAAAAAAATAAGGAAGAACTGGACTTAACTTGGATCTGGTCTGGGCCACGGGCTGTAGTCCAGTCAGGCCCAGGCATTAGATCATTTTCCAATAAATCATATAGTTTCATCTATATCCTATAGGAATCGGGAGACTTTTGAGTTATTTGATGTAAATCCTTCGAATTCTAAGAAATTCGCATGAATTTTCCGATATGATACATTATGATTTATGTTTGTATATGGTTGCATAAGAATTGCAACATATTTTATGGGGTGTTTTTTAAAATACTCAATCTTACTATCAAATTTCATATTACTTTTGTATCTGATGAATTGGTCATCAAGTAAATAAAAGTTTTTAAGGTTATTTTCATTAATTAATTGTTTGATATTATTTTCAATTTTCATACTGTAGTTCTCAAACAGTCTTATTGTTTTAGTGAAGCATGATGTATTCAATTTGGACTTATAAAGACTTTTAAAGTGCGATTGATTGTAAGCATGTAAAGAAAATAAATTTTAGGTAATTCAATTTTCTAGAACTTATTTTCATAAAAATTGTCAATTAAATGTGTTTGATTGATTTGATTTTTAATTTAGAAAATATTAAACTTGTTATTTTTTTATTGATGAGTAGATGAGAAAGGGGCCGGGGATAAATGAGAGAGAAAAAGAGAATGGATTACCTGAAAATAAAAATCACCTCTTTCCAAATGAAAATATTTTCCTTGTTTTTGAGGAAAATATGACCATGTGACCAGAAGTTGAAAAACATTTTTCACGGAAAAAATTGTCGATCAAACACCTCGAAAGTAGGAATTTAGGTAGAAAAACGACATTTTTTTATGGAAAATAAAGCCAATCAAACACACACAGAGATTTTTTTTATGTGAATTAATTTTGCAAATTTTAATTGACTTTTAGAGATTTATTATTGAAAGTCTTATCTATTTTCCTAGTTAGCTACAAACTCCAGTTGTAAATGCTTCATATTACACCAAAGTAGGTGACAGAGAACAAAATCGAATAAGAACTAAATTGAGAGACAAAGAGGAAGAAAGAGTAGAAAGAAAAGAAGAGTGCAAGAATACCGAGAATTTAAAGGAGAAAATGTTAATTTATTCAGCCTCTATTTCCCTCTTTAAAACTAAATTTTTTAATTTCTATACTCATTTTCAACCTCATATTCGCATAATAAAATATTTTACACTTAAATTTAATCACATGTTTTTCAAAAAATTACTATTCAAAATATTACTATTATTATTTTCTAAATGATGGCCATCAAATAGGGGTTCAATATCAAATTCTAATTATTATAATAACTAAGTATAAGGAAAATATTAATAAAAATAAGTACGTAAATTAAATATCATATTTAAAAAGCAAGTAGTTAAAGGAATATTAAAAATCTATTAAATAAAATCAGTTTCCTAAAATAAAAAGAAAAATCTAATTTGAGAAGGTAAGATTCCATTAGAGATCGCGAGAGCTGAATATACGTAAATATAAAGGAAATTGTACCCAGACTAGAGGTTCATGCATAGTCTTCGTCGTTGTCTTTATATTCTTTTCTTTTTTGTATATTACAAAGAATTGGAGTCGAAGTAGCATAATGTCAAGTTTGTACGTGGGTGGGAAAGTGGTACATAGCATGGAGTTATTGAGGAGGCGGTGCTGGGAATTGTCTAGGTATTTGTGGTTGTTACCAATTATTGGTCTCGTTTATCAGGGCGTTATACAGTTAAACCTCGATAAAGTAATGTTCGATAAAGTAATAATCTTGATTATATAATAATTTCTTTCGATCCCGACTTGGGCCAATGGACTAAAGTAATAACATCGCTAAATGCATTAAGTAATAAAAAAAATTGAATCCTTAAGGACCCAATAAAAATATAAAGTAATAATTACTTGATTTTATTGAGAAAAAAAAAAATATATATATATATATATAAACCAAAATCTTTCAATCAATCAACAATACCCGTACAATAATCATTCCTTTTGAAAAGATGCATCTATAGTTGATTGCTTTTTCTTCCCACCTAAACCAAAATGAACCCCATCCTTAACTTTTTGTAGAGCATACACAACTTTCGAAATATTTTGCTCGTGTTGTAGCAAGTAGTTACTTAAGGTGACTATTGCTTGAAATGCCTTTTTTGACGACACATTTGGGACAACGCTACTATCATCTGGTTTAGGATCATTCTCATCATCATTACTGTTTATTACCGATTAAATAATTTCTTCGTCTGTAGGTGATTCCATAACGGCATCATTCTCTCTAGGATAGTTCAAAAAATGTTCAACATCCATTACATTTTTATAGTGTAAATTAGAGACGACATCATTTAATCCTTGGATACCTTCATCTAATTCACCAACTTCGGGTTCGAGAACATTGTTTTCTTCTGACCGAATCTTGCAATGCCGAAAACGATTTGTAATTGTTGTTGTCTTCACATCAAAATTCCAAGCCATGTTAGCAAAATTAATAGCATTCAAAATATTAATTTTTTCAGGATTTGGTGCTTCAACCTCAAGGCCTTGTAAGATGCTAGAATAAAAACGACAACGATAATGAGCTTTGAATGCTCGAATAATCCCAGCATCACTTGGTTGAATTTTAGACGTTGTGTCAGGAGGTAAGAAAAATAACTCTACATTTCTCAAGCCTTCAACTACCTTTGGATGAGTTGGGCAATTGTCTACTATTAAGAGAACCTTCTTGCCATTCATTCTCTTATCAAACCAACCAATAAAATCTTGAAAAAGCAAGCCAGTGATCCAAGCTTTCTTGTTGGATCGATTCTTGCAATTAAGATTGTTCATGTTCACATTTTTAAAGCATTTAGGATTTGCATACTTACCAATAACCTAAAGTGGTACTTTGTCAGATCCATCATCATTGCAACAAACAACAACAGTAATTCTCTTCTTATCTTTTTTGCGTCCTTCGAGCTGCTTGATAGCAAGTGAATGATCAGCTTCCAATTGGTAAAATAATCCAGTTTCATCCATATTGTAAATATCTTTCAACTGAAACTGGTCTAGTTTTGATCTATTCCAAGTAAAGCATTTTTAATGTTCTCCATGATAACTGAACCACTTTCACCATAACGTCGGTAAGATTTGATTCCATATCTTGCCTTGAAACGTTCTAACCATCCACTAGAAAAGCTGAATTCTGGATTAGTTTCACCATACATTTTTTGTAAAAGCTCTTTTGCTTTTCCTTGGATAATTTCTCTAGACATATTCACTTTATCTTGCCTTTGAAGAAACAACTCATACAAAACTTTCTCTAAATTAGGGTATTTTGCCGATTTGTGCCTTTTAACTGTAATACCCCGAACTTCACGTTTTACATTTGGCCAATATGATTCATGCATTCCATGCTAATTACATTGTCATTTGTATCAATTTCCTGATTGCCTTCTCTTAAAACGATGCATTTGATCATCAAGGCTTTAAAATCTTTACATGGTGATAACCTTCGACTCTTCGATCTAGGTGGGGAATTTTATATTGAGCTATGATAGAAAGTTAGATTAACTAAATGTTGGAGATTGGCTTGGTAAGTAATGTAATATTTGAAAGGCCGAAAATTTGTATCAACGAAGGTTCAAGCTTTCCATTCGGCTAATCAAGGTCACCTTAAACCCTAGATAGGTAATTCACATATTTGAGACATGAGGGATGAAGTGACATTATCACAACATAATAATATATGTCTTATACGACATTATAAATATTGAGGTACGAATTGTTGAAATCGGTTGAGAATCGGGTAAGAAATTAAATGAACAGCTGAGGAATTAGATCTATAAAGTACTCTGGGATCTTAATGCAAGTGAAATAGATTGTAAGCACATCAAAATAAACGAATGACACTTGATTTATACCTGCAAGGATAGATGTAAAATCAGAATTTAATCAAAGGAGACAACACCTACTTAACATGTGACGACTTGCCACTTTAACCTCTAATTCCTTCGACCTTAAGCTTCCAACACGTCCTATAAGTCCTTAGAACTTTACACAAGATATTTATAACTCTTCTAAGTCACATATGGCTCCATTTGGTGGAAGGGAGAAGTCAAAGTTGGCTGCAAGAAGCCACCTCCTACTTGGACGGCTCATGCTAGGGGACTTTTCACTTTAATATATAATTGCTTCAACCTTAAGGCATAAATTTCGTGTCTAATCCCCAAGGACTTAATATAGGATGAATATATATCTTAAATATCATAAATGGACACAAAAATAATGGTAGAAAAGTCAAGTATTGCAGCCAAGATGACAGCTCCAGCTTAGTGACTCACCTTGATTGCTTGAGGTGGCTGCAGCCCATGATATTCTTAATCCTTAAGTAATATGCACGACTTCAACTATTTAAAGACCACTCATTTACCTCATAGATAATATATTAACTCCCTGAACTCGTCCCTAAGTGATTCCAAGTGAAAAGAGGGTGAAACAGTCAAAGAGAAACAGAAACAAGATTCTGGAATTTCTGAACAGCCTTGTTACTCCACAGTTTTGAGGTTTGTTTCTATTATTTCTCAAGGGATTTATGATTTCTTGAACATCTGAAGTTGTTTGTGATTAAGTTGGAGTGTTGTTAATGATGTTATGACGCCTAAATAGGGGTAATTAATGGCAAGAATTTGAAAGAAATTAATCTGGACAGAGATGAGGAATTGCGGGATTGAGTGATTTATACCTTGATTTTGGGATGATACTTAGTGCTTAACTTATATATATCAATATGAACGTTTTTATATGTAAGTAGGGAGTGTAGAAATGATTTTAATGGCCTAGAATTCTGTTGGTATCATAATAATAAAATGGAAACCGAAAACAGTCAAAGGGAAAAACTGCC